AACTTTAGGAAATCCATTCACCTTTGGTCATAAATGCGCCCTGAAAAAGTTTGTATGAGGTGCAAACGATAAATGCTTTCATGTAAAAGTTATTTCATGCACGCATGAGTGTAAGGTTTTCTTACTCGAAAAGCTGTTAGGTACAACAATATCCCGAATTTTCATAGCTCACGTTATCAACTCACGAACGATTTTCTATGTAAATCGAGACTATAGGCACATAAAATAGAGGTCACTGAATTTGTTGTGATTCTCATAATACCATTCATAGTTGTAACATCAACTCTTGATATTTGATGAACAATAGGTCACGAAACTCTTAAACGATAATTACCCACACTCAACCTTCGTTACAATATTCAACTTCCTTTGATTGAAACACACTCTCGACCTTCACTGAAGGATTAAACTTGCATGAATTGAAGCACTTGCTCGACAATCGCTGAAACCTTCAACGTCGATGCGTTGAAACATTTGCCTACATTCCCTGAAACATTTAACTTTAACTCGTCTTTCATATTACACTGAACTATCATGCTGAAAAGATTACATCGCAACACAATGAATTCCGAGAACCTCAAAATTGCACGCTAGCAATACCAGAACTTGAGATTAGAATAAAATAAAAGACAAGGTCAATTATTACTGTATTATTTCTTGTCCTGCTAAAACTTGCACACATAAATAGTCAATATTCTGCTGAAAAAATGTTTTTATTCCATTGCCCTGACCTAAAAATTACCGAGAAATAATTAATTTCACCCCTGCACTGTCTGTCCATGCCTTTATGTTCCAGGCTCCCTGTATCGCTTAATGCAACAACAACACCTATTGATTTCCACTTCGGTGAGTTGAGAATTTAAGTTAGATCTTTCATGACAATGTCCGCTTATCTCCTTTAATGGCTTGTGGTTCTATACCAACCCTTTCACGATAGACCTACGCCCTGAAACATTTTATCATCTTGAGCTTGCAGGCATCTTTAGTGACTGAGTCTGTTAGGTCTTGTAGTTCATTCTGAATGGCGTTCGGATAAAAGCGTCTATCGGAACTTACTTACAATTCGGTGGAAGTAAAAACTATCATTGATCGACTTTAGCGTGCATCATCATCAATCACGACGTTGGGGACTTTTTTTTTCTTTCTTCTCTTTGTGTGTGTGTTTTTTAACGGAACAGTGAGTAGAACTTACAAATTATTTTTAACCATGTATTGCAAGAATCGGACAGAAACTGAGAGGTAGATTACCCGGAAATCTATCTATTTATCCAAACTGAGTTTTTTAACACTAGTATCAAGCTTTGGCGTTTTTATTTCAATTCCAAGTTCTGAATTACTATAAAATGAACGAAATCTCAGAGCACTCTCTCCATTCTCTTAGAGCACTGCCCATGTATTCATTTGTCAATTTTCAATTATATTCGTTCAATTGATTAAATTTCTGAAAATTCCTCCTATTTGCAATGTACTACAACAATTCTACTTGATTCAAAAGTTTGTCCTGCTATTGTGCGATCCGATTAACATACCTGGCACTCAGTTAATTTAAGGAGATTGCATTCATAACATTGGTGAGAACCGTATAATGAATGGTAACCTTCACGTCCTTTAGCACCCGCTTATCGACTTATCTCTCACTAATGAACGGTATTTGTCAAGCAACTACAAAACCAGTCGCTTGAAGGTTCTTTCAGCCCTACAAGTACAGATCTGAGAACGCGTGTGCACTGATAGTTATTCCCAGCTATAATGCGTAATTTTATGCGCGACTTGCATTTTCATGCAGTGTGAATTTTTCGTTCTGCAGCTTTGCAAAAAACGATAAATCTTATTAAATTTTATTACTTTATTATTTTATATCAAACTATATTTCCAACTGAGTTTAGAACGATATTTTTTAAACTCGAACTATGCTCAATGTATTGGAAAAACTCGTAACTAACTATGCTCAGTTCCCTTTGTCAAAACTAGTTCAACCAAAGGGACATGACATGAAGTGTAAGGGCATGGTAGAACTTCAACCATGCCTTTTATCTTTGTAAAAGTTTTCCTCGCTGACGGAACGCTCTCCACAATCAAGTCCGTGATGCAGCTAACTTGCTTTAAGTTGCTTACTGCTTAGGCCTATGTCTGTGGGGTGCGCAGCCGTAGACCAGCAAATTAACGCTCAAATCAGCCCTGAAGCCAACATCAACCATCTAAATCCTATAGATATTGTCATCCTGGCACCTAAGCAGCTGTAGTCAATTGACCTATCTCACCACACGAACTTTAAACCAACACTGCTTCAGCACACAAGCTGCTACTCCACATAGTTAACGGTCAATACGTTGTTCTCCAATGCTTTATAACCCATACCATCACTTCTTAAGGCCCGTTTCCACTACGGGACTGATTCTGAAGGATTGAGATTGGCCTGAGACCAATAAGCCACATGGCTGGACAGCCTGGACTTACAAACTGGCGTGCGCGTTTCCACTACGTGCGTGTGCTGGCATTGAGACTGACCGTCTGGACTACCGCACTCGCTGGCCTTTGAAGATAGATTATGCTGCCACAGTGCCACTCTTGCTTTTACTAGCTGTTGTCACTATATCATATGCGCAGGAGGAAACAAAGATCTATTTACCTAATAGCAGTTATGAAACGCAAGAATGGTTTCAAACTTCTCATTAACATAGTTTATCCGTATAATAACATGCATTCACCAAGGGCAAGGGATTAAGAAACAGCATTATCTTTTAATGTCGAGAAAATTAACTGTAATAAATACGTCACAATATTTAACCATGTCTGGTTTTTGGTCTATAGATTTAGATAGGTATCATAGAATAGCTGATAGCGTGCTCCACAAATGCTACTACTTATTATTGGTTAATGTGTTAATTTACTATTTACTGAGTTTGAGTATACATACACTGTAAGTACAATAAGATAATTAAGATTTTTTAATTGACGGACGAGTGAATCTATATCAATAAACAGATAAAATTGGTCAATGAGAAGTTTGGAAGTATTATTTCCATTTTTCAATGTTCGTGGATGGATATAATTTCTCCATTTCTTTACTTATTTTCTCTAATTCTCAAGATTCTGTCTCTGTAAGAAAAGCTTTTTACTTGCCAGAAGCAAGGTGCTTCTGTCTATAAATCGATAAGCCTTTCAGTGACATCTCTGCTCCAGTCTCTGTCGTCAGTGTCGTGTGACATGGTCAGTTAAGCAAAGAGGCAATCAGGCAGGCAATGGTGCGTCTATTGTAGCGCCAGCCCAGCACACAACCTCCTTGAACAAAAGTCACAGCGACACTGCCCCTTGCCTGTCACGCAAGTCCAGTAAAAGATTGAACTGCGCTTGACTCCCCGTCACTCAAGTCTCGATGGTCCGCCAGGTCCGGACTGCCTCAGTCCGGACTGAAAAAGCCAGTTTTTCAATCCTCAGTCTCGCAGAGTCTCATAGTGGAAACGGGCCTTTACACATGCTGTTATCCCAAGTGTCCGCTGACCACACTGCATTGTCGCAAATGTGAACTGTACCAAACGGTAATGCGTCATCACCTTACTTAATCCGCAAGACGTTAACCCCGCGTCACCGTTTCCCTGCCTTACTATCCCCCAGCATCTTCTTCCCCCACACTTACCCCAACTTTCCACCATTATTGCATGACTAACTGGAGGCTTTTCTCGCAGACCTTTGATGCTTATCCAAATTAGGTTAGGTTAAGTTAGGTTAGGTTAGTTTACAACTCCTATAGATCCTCTTTTCATAGCGTAATGCAGTCAAGTGAGCAGAAACTAAGAAAAGCCGTCTGGCAGTCTGTGAAAAAAGGCGGGGAGACGGGGTATGCGTGGAGGTAGAGTTATGCCGGGGGAAAACGGCTGCAACGAACAGACGGGCTGGAGTGCTGGCTATGTATCAACAGCGGTATGGCGTAGGGAGTTGCTTATCGAAAATCGTGATTAGGTTAGACGGCATGGGATAGAGCTGTTGGACGGTTTTCAATACGGCGTAGAGCGATTGTATTGGTGGCTTACTTCTCATTAGCTCGCTGCTTAATTTCCATGAAGGGGATTTGTACTATTGGCTTTTAACATATAATCCCTTAGTCTACTCTGCCCTTTAGCAGGCTTATGCACGGAAAGGAGGATGAAAGATATGCTGGTCTTGGGCAATGCTGGCCTCTGGCATGCATCCCCTGTCTGTGTATGTGAGGCCTCTGGCTTGTTAGTCAAGTGTGACAGTGATTTTTGGTCTATTGGCATTTGGCGTCATTAGGTACCTATTTCTGCAGGCCTCCAGCCCCCCTAAATAATTTATGAGAATTGGTATTTTTTATTATTTCTTTAGGCTTGAATGTAATTTTAATTTTTGAATGATAATCATATCACACATGATACAATCATACAACTACAAAACTAGTGTAACAAGCCATATGATATATACATTGTAGTGATTATACTGTGTACAATCACCAATTTGGTGGTGTAACAAATACCTGACCAATCTGGTGGCACCAGACACTCAGGCACCAGTTATTAACTTGAATGAAGTTGAAGCCTGGGTTAGACCCCGGTTTGTCCCCAGTCCCCACTGACGGACTGGCCAGTGGCCACTGTCCTAAAAAACTAGTGAGTAGTGACACTGACAGTCTGACACACTGCACTGTAGATCTCTACTGTCTGTAATTAACAAAATAATGGCTGATTTGCTTTCCCTCTCAATTCATTTTGCAACAGCCATTCTCAAAAAAAAACATGTTTTAAAACCTTGTGAGGACTGGAGAACTAATTTGTATTCTGTACATGTACAACAGTTTGACAGTGTATGTCTACTATTTCACTTCAGTACCTGCCTACCTGATCCTGAGGCTAGGGGCTGAGGCTGAAGTTGACTGGCTGAGTCCTGAGTGTTAATTTGCAGGAAGTTGACTTTGTTTCAATCAGACAATCACTTATAGCATTACCATTAACCATATATATATATGCATGTAATTTCTCTTACAGTCCAAAAACTTTCATTTATATTGAATCTCTATTTTGATTCTTTGGTAATTCAACCATAATTGGTATTTTCCAAATACAATACAAGAATTACCACAAAAAATAATGTTTGAATCTAAAATTAGGTATTCTTTCATTAAACATTATTTTGGTGATTGATTCTTTACTGAAAACCTATTTTAATAATTTTTAAAAAATTATTGCTAAATTATAAAATTATAAGTATTCTATTTGTTGTAAAAATGTATGATTCTTCAGAATTGCTTCAATTGGCTGCTGGAGATTCTGTTTATGGTGAGTCACAAATGTTCCCATGTTGTCATTATGTAATATCTTGTTCTAAACTCAAACTGCATGTTGGATTTCTTTAACTCTTACTTATTCCTTTATACACAAACACTTCAGCTATCTACACATGTGCATGCTGGGATTTGAGGCTTGTGAATTTTGTTACCATTGACATTGAAACTGATTATGCTATTCAAACAAATTTATTCAAGCATATCATTTACTTTGAATATTTTCTGTCAGAATAATTGCCTATAGAAAAACATTAAATTGTTCAATATCAATGTGCCCTTCTTTAAAATTTACTGTCTTTTTAATGTTGATGTATATTTTTATTCCATTGATATTTATAAATGATATACTAATATATTTTTATTAATATATAATTATATCATATGAAAAAAACATTTATTAAATTAATTATCTAGTGATTAATTTAATTAAGTGTCTAGTAATTAATTCTGTATTCCAGGATGCCTCAACAATTATGTCATTGAGAAGGAAATTGGCAAGGGACAGTTTAGTGTTGTGTACCGCGCACGCTGCAAGGTTGACCAGAGGATGGTGGCTCTCAAGAAAGTTCAAATCTTTGAGATGAGTGATCGCAAGGCCAGACTTGACTGCATGAAGGAGACTAATTTGCTACAGGTAGAACTCTTACTTTTGCTCTTTTTAATCTATCTTGGTTTATGCTTGTATTCTCAATTTTGTTCCCATGTGAAGATTTTAATCATTTGAAAGCATCAATCAAGAAAGATATTGAAATTGTTTCATTTACAAACGTTTTAATAGATAATATTATTAACATTCACTATTCTTAATAATACCAATGCACATACAACTTTCTATTTTTTGATTAAGGTTCAAATGGTATTATTATTGTTTATTTTTCAGAAATTGAACCACCCCAACATCATTCAATATCTGGCATCCTTTATTGAAGATAATGAACTAACAATTGTCCTTGAACTTGCTGATGCTGGAGACCTGAGTCGTATGATCCGTCACTTCAGGAGGCAGCAGCGACTCATACCTGAACGCACAATCTGGAAATATTTTGTACAGCTCTGTTCTGCTCTTGACCACATGCATTCAAAACGCATCATGCACAGAGGTAATTTCACCCCATCATATTTCCTATCAAAATGATATTCAATCATGAGTCAAACTAAATATTTATTGCTCCATTTGTGTGTCCTGAAATATGACATACTTGCTTTCAATGAATCTATGAAGGATTAATAGTTGAATCTTTCCATTTCGTGATGCTTGTGTGATGATGTACATATTTACTCTTTGGGTATAAGAACTTGGATTTTTTTAATAATGGATAGGAACTTACTAGAAAGATTTATTTAGATTTTTCAAAATATAAATATTTCTCAGTATGATTAATTAGTTGTGAGAATCATCCATGAATGCTTTTACATCTACCCGAAAGCCATTTTGGAAGTTATTCCACATTTCCAGGCTCTGATGATTGAACACACAATGTAACTTTTGATGATTATACTGATATACTTTATTAAATTGCATGGAGAGTGCTCACTTATATTGAAGCATATTATTTTATCAAACAGATATCAAGCCAGCAAATGTTTTCATCACTGCTGAAGGCATTGTTAAATTAGGAGATCTAGGCTTGGGTCGTTTCTTCAGCAGCAAGACAGTGGCTGCACACTCCCTTGTGGGCACCCCTTACTACATGAGCCCTGAACGCATCCATGAGGATGGCTACAACTTCAAGAGTGATATATGGTCACTGGGCTGCCTCCTTTATGAGGTAGATAGCTCATACTTACGGTACTTATTTGATTCTTGTTTTATTTTATCTATCTTCATCTTGCAAGTGTAACTTATACTGCTCTAGCATCATTCAAGCTTGATGCTTCCTCCTTCATCTAGTTTAGTTCTACACTTGCTTAAATCCAATGATCAATAACAGTGTCGTCTTTTTGATACCTTTCTTACAATGGAGGTACTAAAATGTGCTTCATTTCTAGATGGCCGCCCTTCAGAGTCCTTTCTATGGGGATAAGATGAACCTCTTCTCTTTATGTCAGAAAATTGAGAAAGGGAAGTATCCTCCTCTGCCCTGTGACCACTACAGCGAGCAAGTGAGTGTCTCTTTTTACTAGTTATGAATAACTTCTGAAAATAATATATATGGAAGATTTATAAGGATACATATCTATACATAAATATTGTCAATATCACGTAATTTCCTTATTGCTGTGCAGTGTTTTTCAACTTATAGGAATACTTCTAAAGAATCCGTAAAATTAAAGAATCGCTGGTCTCGGTATTTGTTAGTAAACTATTTTTCCCACTTAATAATTTCTTGCATTTATTGATTTTGCCACTGTTACATTTTGCCTTCTTCTAATAAGTGGTAAATCATATTCCAGTTACGAACTTTGGTGGACGAGTGTATCAACCCTGAACCAAGCAAGCGGCCAGACATCAGCTATGTCCATCACGTTGGCAAAACCATGCGTGACTTCAGCGCATCAAGTTCAGCTCATGCCCAGTCCCCTCCACCAGGTCTCTCCTTCCCAAAAACATCACGTCCACCGTCAGATGGCGGCCCCAGCTGCACAACGCATCTCGCCAGTAAGACCTCGACCAACACCACGGACGCCGTGAGATTGAATGAATAGCAGCGAGCCTCGAGAGGAATGCCCTCATCATCATCAGGCTCTGTCTTGACACCACCTCTGAACATTAGAACACCTCCCGAAGAGCAACTAAAGCCTTCTAAGGGTCAAACTAATCGCAGATCTGGTCAAAGCAAGAGAAATTTAGGCTCGCCTGATACCAACTATAACCAAGCTTCTGGTAGCAAAGGACGTCTTGGTGATGATGAAAGCATTCCCTCTCGAGGGTCGAACAAGTCAAGGGATGAGGCTGGAAACTTATCGCATCTGGAAGCCACGCCGCACGTCGAGAATGTTATGCCTGATATCCTGGAAGTACATCGTGGTGATACTCCTCCTTCAGGAGGTAGCATCCAAGGAGACCGAAAAAGTAATAGGCCAAGTGGCAGAAGACGGAGCAAAAACGGAGTCAGAAGAGCCGAAAGCTTGGGTGACATCCTCTATGAAAAAGATGAAGCAATGGATATGGAAAGATTCATGGGACATGAGAGACGAATGAAAGGGGACGGCTTGAACGATTCGTTCAGCAGCGTTGGCAGCAGCAACAGTCAAGGAGATGGAAGCAGTCCTCCTGCTGCTGGTAGTGGAGGAAGCCGTAACAGATCACGCAGCGTCAGCTTCGCTCCTCGCCCTGCTTATGGTCAGTTCCGACAGGCTGCAAACAACGTCCGGGCCAGTAGTGATGACAGAAGTTACTCCGCAGACGATAATCATATATTCACAGTTCGCAACAAAGCTCCATTCTCATACGGCACTGGTTTTACCGTCGGGTCTTATTCACAGTACGCTTCAGGCACAAAGAGCCTCACCGGGTCTGCTCACAAAGACAACTCTGGGTCTGCTGCAGGCAGGTACAGCACCAGGGATGATCTGGCGCTTGTGTCCTTCACCAGCAACCAAAGCGAGCGTCTGACATCACCGCAGCAAGTCTCTGCCGGGGGCTTCTATCCTGCACGGAACAGATACTCGGTCAAACTTCCACCTCTGGGAAAAAGACTTTTCTAAAGTATTGATTTGTCCCAAGTTACCAGTTCTCTACTTGAATTCGAATTAAATTTTGTGCTGCAATATGTTTATAACTTTTTATACTTCTAGACATACGGTAATATATCTATTGAAAATTATCAACGCATTTACTGGAACGCTATCAGAGAAAACGTACGAAATTGTTCACATGTGTTAAGATTTCTGTCAATTTTTAGCCATGTTCAGGCCACGATTAGTCGATCTATTATCCTATTTACTTTCATATATAGCTTTATGAAAGATTAATTTTGAGTATAGGTATTAATAACTAACTCGGAGGCACTAAGGTATTTAATGCTTGTCAATGAGCAATCTTGTCAACGCTTTAGTGCTCTGTAATCTTTACTAGTCACGATGATGGAGTTGGTGTAAAAAGTCGGTGCTCTGCACTTAATCTTTCTATGGCATTTCTTTTTCACGTAATAATTATGAATGTATATTATCACTGTTATGGTAGTCGAGGGAAGTTGAATCAATTAGTATTAAGCAAGTGTAGAGTGAAGGATTATGAAAAATTATACTGCTGAAATACCAAAGCGAACATTCATTTTCGAATGTAGAAATAAAGTGATTAAGATATATGGTCCAAGACCGAATTCGAAAATTGGAGTACTTAGCAATTAATGTGACCTTGCAATCGTAAGTTATTTTTCCTCTACTTCTTAGTGTTTTAGCGCTGAGCATTGTCACTCTGCAAAATCAATGCTGTACGTATATCGAGTTCTCGCTGTTACAGTTATTGCCTTAAATACCGGACCAGTAGAAAAGGTTCAGATTATTATGAATTTATGAGTCAATTATTTCTTGAGTATTTGGAAGAATCACTTTTCCCCCCTGTGCCTTCGCTGTAACTTAATCCGTCCAAGCAGACCTAACTTCAGTCGTATGAATCTTAACTAAGCACTAAGTCATTTCAGCGCTCGAAAATGTCACTTCCTTTGCATATTGGTTTTACGTGGGCTATTTTTTTACTTGTGCTGTATTCATATCTTTACCGTATATATTAAGACATATATGTTGGGATTTATTAAATAATCTGTTTGGAAAACTTAATGCCGCAAAACCATGTGCCTTTGGCAAGGACTTGGTCGTATATTGTTATTGTTGTAATCACAAGCATTTAGTTCGTGGGAAAGTAAAACAGAATGTAATTTTCGGGAAGCTCTTCATAATTTGAATGTCAATTTACAGCATACGTATTAGAACTGTTTGTTATAAGATACCGTATGCGAAGAATTTAAACAACTGAAAAGCTGTTCTTGTAGCCGGCTAATTACTGAATCCATGTAACATCTTTGAGCTTATCGTTTTATCAATTAGCTGTCAAGTAACGTCTGGGGAAAAATTATACATTTGAATTTAAATTCTTGTCTGAAACTGTACTTCTGTTTTAATTTATCTTGATTTGTTTCAAGATTAGGTTGTTAATTAACATTTTCTTTGCTAGCTGAACCAAAGAATTATTACTGAGAATTTGTTCTATAATATTTATTTTAGGTTAAACCTATTAACTTGTTTACTGTTTATTACTTCACAATAATTCCATATAAATTCAATTATTGAACGAACATGTTTAGTACCGCACACAGATTAGCCGCATGTTGTGCACTGAAGTCGATGTCGTGTGATGTTTTCACTTGAAACCTCACACACTCTGATAACTATTTACTGTTAACTTTGTAACATAACAAATACTAGTCAGTTCTGTACGAAAATCTTAATGAATTTGTTCGATGGAAGGTAAGAATTACGAGGATTGGTAACTTGTATCTGTTTTTTTTTCTGGTCTGCTGTTCCATGAACTGCAGACGTACCGCTATCTAATGTTGGTCTGGTAGAAATTATACGTGAACTTTCGAAGGTAAGTATCATCGCGTGTTCGAATTTGATCATTATAACAAATCAATTTCCAACTTCGCGTGCGTCAGTTACATACTAGGCCTTTACGATCAGGAATTTGAATTAGTGCAAGGTTGACATATGTTTTTCTGGCTTCATCGTCATTGGCGCATCACTCCTAACAAAATGCATTAATAAACGTATTCTATGATAGTTTGTTTTATTATACCTTTCTTTTCAAGTGACAATTTTCCCAACTCATTAGAACGTAGATTATTTGTATTGAAAGTTTCAATATTTTTGACTTCAAGATTATGAAATTCACTGCACTTAATGGCTTCGCTACAATTACGGTTGTACTCATTCCGAATTAACTTAAGCTGTGAGAGTTGTTGCCAAAATATTCTCTATAATCGAGTTTTAATTCGAAAAGTGCGAATGCAACTATTTGGAATTTGATGATGATAAATGAAATTCATAATTTGAGTAAAAGCGTGAAGCTCCCGTTATGAATAATCTCAATGTATTTTCCACCGATCACAAAATTGCGAGCATGTTAAGTCGGTAAGGTTAAAAAACAGTAGTCACTTCTTGGACAAGTTTATTGTCTAACTATTAAAGGTCCCCGGTCCCCCGTCATGTCACGGGACCACAACATTGAGTATAACCGTTTCACACGAGATTTACTCCAAGTTGACTCAAACACAAACCGAAACTTTATAATAATACGACGCAAGTAAACTAACGAGCTCACAGCAGCGAAAAAATTTAAAGAAAACTACCTAACACAACTCAACTACATTACGAGGTAGCCTTCTTTATTTCCGAGTCGAACGAGAACTGGCTGATATCAGCATTAATCCTCTAGGAATAGGTAAATCAACGCTCGTCCATCTTCATTTTAGCGACTTCAAGGGTGAGTGCGCTAGGGCACTTTTCCCCGTAGAAGTTGTACTTTTGACAGAACTTTGAGGTACAGCCCAGAGGTTTGGTGTTTGCTAGGGAATGGTTGTTTGCCTCATGCGCCGAGTTCTCGAAAAGCCACTGGCAGTCATCCTCCCTGACGAAAACGGCGATCTCTAATCCCATCGATACGTCGTCCAACTTCGATCGGTACACCCAGTAGATTCTGACCGAATTATAATTTTATAATTAGTATAAATTTATAATAAACTAAATTAGTACAATTTAAAATCAAATATATTCATAAATGAAGCCAATTTTACTTTCGATACCAGCTCATATATTATTAATATTATACTTTTAACTCTATCCTTCATACATGCTACAGATATATAATTATTTTTTTCGCTTTCTGCAAGTAAAATAGAATGAATTAGTGGAAGTATTTCAACGCACCCGCTCTGTTTCAGCGGCACCGACGTGGTCTTCTTTTCGTCGTGGACTACGTCTACCGGCTGCATTGACGGCAAGCACTCTCGGCCTCGGGTACACAGAAGTCGAGCCACACGGCCATCTGGACGATCCACGGTGTCGGCTTCATAAAAAATCTTGCCGAACTTCTCACAGAACTTTGCCATTGTAATGGTGCTACTCACGTTTCCATACTTGTTATGAGAACGCTTATCCATGGAAGGCGCGAACCAGATCACCTGTTAACAGAAGTGGATAGCTCAGATTATGGTTAGGCAGTTCACGGAAACTCGAGACGGACATCTTCAATCAAGACTAATATGAAACTAATACATAGAATTAGTTTTCCTAATCAAACTCCGCTACAATGAATTCCTCGCAGAACGACACAATTCCGATAACCACCAATTTAAAATAATATGTAGAAGCCAGACAACTCACTTTGCCTGAGAAACCAATCTTGGGCAAAGATTTTGAAGCATCGACGGGCAAGAATCTGCCGCTTTCACGAGCCTGCTCGAACTCGTCGAGATGCTGGCAGTGAGTTATGGAGCAGAGCTCGGTGAACAGAGACATGTTGAATCAATCTGCACACGTGGTGACAAATATATAAGGATTAGAACACGATTACCAGAAGCTGTAGCACCAATGATAGCATTGCATTAATGAGTACATTCATATAAATCTGCCGCGTGCTTAAAAGATTCCAGTACGAATATACTTTACTTCATTAATATAATGAATGTACCCTTCAAGTAATTCATTTACCTAGTTAGAAACTATACGAACAATAAGTAACAACTAGAATAAAATAAATGGAAATGTTTGCAAAGATACATGTATTAGTATAGTTACCAACTTTTCACAAGGTACAAGAAGTATATAGCGCCGTCGCCAGAAGATATATCAGACGACGTCTTGATGCTTTTGCAGTTAGCACAAGAATGACAGTTGCAGGCTCTGGCTGCGTGCGCCGCTGCAGCCTTGCAGTTTCTTCGTTCTTGGCGCGCCAGCCGGCAAGTCCGGACTCCGGGGCAGTGTTGCCAGGTTTTTTCTCGGCGAGAATACCAGATTGCCTAGCTCAAAATACCAGAAATTCTATAGTTCAAAAATAGGCTACTACCTCCAAATTTAATGAAATTATTCGTCAGAAACATTGGTTATAAGAGAAAAATTATCTTATGTACTGTGCATTTATCTAGCTTGACGATAACTAGCCAAATTAAACACGTTATATTTGTCCCTCTGTTTGGAACATTTTTACACTTTCCTTTTCCTGTGTTTGATTACATTGTCACGTTTTCCTTTTTGTATCACAGTGTCGCACTTCTCCCTCTTCGCTCAACATGAGCAAGTCTGTAAAAATCTGTAATAATTCCAGCGGCAGCGTATCGATAATTAATACTCACATTCCAAAATTCATGCAGATCCGTTAAGTATTGAAGGAATTATGAGCGGCCCAGTTGCGCGAGTCCGCAGGCGAGTCCGTAGAATTGTCGATCGAGTAGCTAGTCGCTACCCTGGAGCTTGTACGCTTTGTAATGTGATATCCTAGCCAGCCAATTTATTGCGGCAACTGGTCGCTTTCAGGTGGCCGAGGAATGGCCGGCGGTCGGCTATAACTAATTGGACTAGGCCGACCACTGGCCACGTATTATTCCTCGCCCCTCATTGAGTTCGCCTTCACCACGCCGCCCGTCGTGAACTGACAGTTCAGTAATTTACGACGTCTCTTTCCCCTCATGTATTCCACAACGTCTGCATTTGAGCAGTTAGTATGAGGTATTTCCCCTCCGCGTATCAGCAGGCTCGATCATAACTATTTTTTGGTAGATAATCTCTACAACAAGGAGGCTGATCATGGAATGCCGAGTATACCATTCAATGGAGAATTAAAATTACAACCCGTTTACATCTCGAAAAATGTGAAAAAGTCGCAGACTTGGTGAACAATAATATTCAAAGTTTCTTTAAAATTCTTTTCATTATAACTCTTTTAAAATAAATTTTACATATTTTTTTGTTCCTGGCCACCGTTTATAAATAAATAACTGGGTCAACATGGAAAAATCCATATCGCCATCTCATTTTAAGAGTGCAGTAAAGTTCAGCCTAATTTGTGAAGAAACTCATAGGGAAGAGCCGAGCCTCTTCGAGGCCTCGCGGTTCTCAATCAGAGCCCCGTCCACACGCTCAAACTTATCGTCGGTCTTGCATTTCATGCCAAAGTTTGACCGACAAGACGGTAGACCAGTGGTTCCCAAACTTTTTCAGGCTAGCGCCCCCTTTGGCCCCCTAGTGAATTTCTAGCGCCCCCCACAGACAAAAGCCACTCTCTTGAAATTTAGTACGCTGAAATTTTAAAAGATGAAGGTTAAACACAAATGTGTATTTCACAAATAGAACCCCATTTAGTGAACCAATATGTTTTTCAGCTGTTTTAACTGTTTCAGCACTAGAAGCCAAGGACGTCGCGGGCAAATTTATGGCCGGACTCGTGGCCGGTCTCACGACC